ACTCTATTTTTCAAAATTTTCTTGGCTAGGTCCCCAATGGACTCGCTACTTTGGTGCTCACAAGGGGAATTTGTTGAGGTTCGCAAGTCCGTTCGTTTGACATTCTGTTCTCTAGTCGGATAAACTAGTGATCAGGCGACGGACGGTATCTGGTCAGATCTATTTATCTCGACGATCGGTGCCTGACAGAATACTGTAAGACAGCATTTCCAGCAGTCTATTTTTCAAAATTTTCTGGGGGAGGACTCCCTACTTTGACGCTCTTGAGTGGGCTTCGTCGTGATTCGCAAGTCCGTTCGTTTGACACTTTACCTCATCGATCAGTGCCTGAAATACTGCCAGGCTGCATTTCTGGCAACCTGTTTTTCAAAATTTTCTGGGAGAGGCCCCCTACCCCTAGTTGAAGCTCGTGCCTTTGCCCAGCTTTGCCCCTCCAATCACCGACGGCTGGCGCCGCCACTGCATAAAAGTATGCCTTCGAATTTTCAGTGATATTAATCGTATCGTAGGCTATGAATCATGATGCGCATCGAATCGTGGCCTGACGTATTGTTGCAGCCCTAATTGGTATACATTTTTTGAAAAATTATTAATTGTAAAAATGGATAATAGAGACTTTGTTTTTTATCGTACCGTCTTTAGTAAGAAATTACTGTTCTGCTCCGTGTGGACTAATGAAGATGGGCGTATGTCATACAGTGTGCTATGAGGGAAATTTTGTGTGGGCAACGGCACAATGGCCTACTCCTATATCGAATTCCAACTGCCAAGGGATCTTTTACGTGCTTGTCAATGTATACACGGGAACTCGGTTTTTCATCTAATCTGGACTTAAGTAATGATGATCAAGGCTAGCCTGAAATTCAAAAGCTAATATCTTGGTTCAGAGTGGAGCAATTTGACTGAATTTTTCAGCATATTCTATTTACGTTATCTTTTTTTTAACTATTATAATTATAGCGAGAGCTGTCAACTCTTTATCCAATCTCCCATAATGCCCCTTTAACTTTTAGTTAAAAGATGCATTACATGTATGTAAGAATTAAATCTGCCTATTGTAGGTCTTTAGTTTGGCTTCAAATGTTATAATAAACTATTATTTAAACATTTATTCACTTGACAAGCCTATAATTAAATCATTTGCTTGATAAAGACAAGAGTATACTTGTCGAAACGTCGCTTAGTATCAAACTCAATAATTGTGTATCCATAAAATTGTACCTTGTGTTAATATGTTCAATTACTAAATGCCAATCAAAGAAGACAATAATAAACAATCTATGCCACATCTTGTGAAAATTACAAACAGTGATAACTTTGCTGAGAATAAAGTAATTTGAATGAAGTTTTCAATATATTCATATTGTATTATCTGGTTTGGAATTAGTACATTTATAGTAAGAAAGGCAAACTATTTATCTAAATCTTACATAATGCATCTTTAAGAAAACAAAATGAAAGTATCAACAGTAGATAAATTTTTGTGAGTGTTTATGTAATCTAGGTCAGTATTTGGAATTTCCATATAATTTTGAATACAATATTATTCGAAACTAATATTGTAATACATTTATTGTTTTGGTGAAAGTAATCTTTCCTCGTTAACATCTTTTGTTGGTAAAAAAAAAAAGTTACGTACATGCATTTTATAGTGGCTATAAAATACATGCACTAGGTTTGAGTAAGGGCCTCGATCTTTCTCAAAGAACCAAGTTAGCTATATTAATGGTATGGATTAGTTTGAAAGATTATTATACCATGTTTAGTACCAGTTTACACATGAATTATTTAGTAGATCTGAACTATTCTACATAATGTCATACAGTCATGCCTATCATTTGATTTTAGTTGGATCAATATTTAATTAAGTACTGTTTTGTAATAATGTCATTTCATCTTTTGTCTAGATGTATAATGTACATGTGTTTAATGTGCATATATGTTGCTTGCAGATGTAGTCATTCTACAGAAATAAATGAATTGAAGAAAGTAAAACTATTATCTGAGGTCTGGAAATGTGCTTTGAAAGTTTGAGTTGTTACATGTATTTAAAAACAGTGAAAATATTAGGCCAAATTGATTGAGTATATTGTTTGAAAAAGATTTGTTCACCCTCTTTAGTCGATCAACTTATAATAATAGGGTATTACATGTACCATAAAGATCAAATCATAACATAACATATCTACAGTAATTGAGCCTTTGGCCTCTTATACACTGTTTAAGTTGTCACCTGGGATAGAATTGGACCGTTACAGTGTGTGTTTGTAGTCATGGAGATCTCAATTGATTATTGACAGTCGGGCCTATTGACAAGTTTACTAGTCAGCCCTGTCCCATAAGCTCTATACAAGTTAAGCGCACTCTGCTTGGACTGTTCATTATCATAATAAATTCCCCTATACCTATGACATATATTATAATACAATACTAATGTAATCCAGCATGCCTGTACTTGTTTCAATAGTTTACCGCGCAGGGCATGATTAGGCTTGTTATTCAGTCTACCTTCAATCTTGACTTTGTGATTAATTTATAGAAAATGGTTTGAGATAAAAGTTAAAATTTGCTTTGGGAAAGTTTCTTACTAAATTTTTGGATATATTGATCAAATTCCGTCCAGAATGATCAAGGTGGAGAGAACTGGGTTTACAACCTATCGGGTAAGTTCTTTTCATCATGTGTTGGCATGTATATTTTGACATATAAAAATTTCTGTTGTCAAGGTATACAAATCAGTACCTACTTTCTCAACTCAAAATAAAACAATGGTTGGAGTCATTTTAAATGACATGATTTTATTTGTAAATTATTATTTTAAGTGAGACATTTAATCAATAATGGTACCTGCAGTATTTATATTGAATGTAAATTTTCTCTATTCCATCCACTGATAACAAAATTCCTGAAGAATGACTCAATCTGAAATTCCTTAGTTTATATACATAATGACAATATATAGACTGTTATCTGATACATCATCAATATCATCAACTCAAATGTTTTGTGAAATGAATTAACAAAATATCTCTCGATTCTAATTGTTACATAATCTTCATCCATTGATGTTCAATTCAGGTTACTCAAGTTAATTGGATATTTTTACGACAATTAATGAAATATATTTTGGTACCAGTACATAAAGACCTACACTATATAAATTAGTCATCTTTGTGTTGACTGTTGATGACTTTTAAGTTGTCAGAAAATAATATATACCGCCATAAATTTAAAAGAAAAATCCATTTTTGACATATATAAACAAATTAATTGTTGATATGTATATTGGTCTCTAAAATGTGGGAACAGGTGACAAAGTATATAGACATATTTGTAGTATGTCACAAGAAAGCAGTAGAGTAGATAGATATACCCATTTGTCTATTTATAAATCTTACCTCTACTGTATATTTACTTTTCTTATAATTTCTATAGAACATATTTATATACATGTAGGTTAAGTGTGTTTAGAATTTAATAATAAATTATGTAACTGGTATCGGTATTTGCCTTGTAGTGAGATGAAAATTTAATGTGCATGTATCACATTTATTAAAGTATGGATATCAAAAATGTATTGTTTTGAGGTAAATTTCACGGACTGTTATATGAACATAAAAATTGCTTTCATTAGGAATGGACTGGCTTGTACAGAAAAAAATAGCATAGAATTATTATATATTAATTTGTGTTCAATGCTTAAAGATAGAGGTGGGAAATAGTTAAACTGCAAATAGACATCTATACTGTCCAGAACCATCGAACTGGTTGGTCTGATTCATTTTTGGGCGTATTGATGTACTCTTTTCTGTATGATCGTAAAGTTTATTTAACCTTTATTTTGGGATTTACTTTTCATTCAGTCAGAATATAAACTAGAGAAAACATTTGAATGAATTCCCTGAAAATTGGCTTTATACACATAAATAAACCTGTTATAGATTTATATCAATGAATGAAGTTCCTGACACCTTGCATACATCTATGTTAGTTAATACATGTATATCTTGAGATTTTATTAGTAAACAAGGAGTAAAGGTAATGTAAACAATGACCAAGGTACACATCATGTTAATGTCTTTCGTGAGACAATTTTCATTAGTATTATCTTGTCTCATCTCTTGTTTAAATTTAGTTAATTATCTAATTACTGCCAGAATTACTTGATTAAATTACCTCAATGTAATTAATAAGATGACAAAGAGATAAGACCTCACACAGTGTTCAATCCCCTTATTGAGTTCAAATTTTAATTCACTAACAAGAAGAAATAAATGGGGAAAATGACCAAATACTAAATTTGTGCATTGTGAATTTACATTTTTTTCAAAAAAAAAATCATATATCCCTTTTCTTTGAATTTGGAATATGTACACATAGTTCAGGGGATAATACAGTTTTATTTTTTCTAATAAAGATGACGCAGGTTTAAGCTTTGATTTGATAATTACTAATGAAAAAATATTCCTATATTCATTAGATGATTCACAATGCCTGAGACAGTTAATGGCGTTATTGTGGTTTTTCCAGAACTGCCTATGATCAATGAAAAGCCTTATTATATGATCCATGAAAAGTCATGAGGAGATCTATATTGATTATTTTGGCCAATCCAGGTGTTTTAAGTGGCGACAGATAACAAGTGCTAACAATTGGTCATTAATTATTAACACCGTACAACTTGTGATAATAAGCTTCAATTCAGCCTATTAAAAGAGAAAGATCCCTGGTGGGGTTGTGGTATAATACAGGTGTAGAATAACAGTACATTGTTAACTGACCGTCTTAACCAACTGGTTGTTTTATAAGACTGAGTTTAATGTTTGGCTGTATGTCATTCATGACAGATGCAAGATGTTCACCTTTGTTGATGACCAGTTTGTTGAAATAGTGGTAATATTTTCATTATTATGTAGTTGGTAAACATTGTTGATTCAAAACATGCTGTAATGTATAATTTAATTAATTTAGTATATTTAATGTTTAATTTTCTTTTGCAGTTGAACCCATTGATTGCTCAAACAACGACAGCTGGTATGTCACCAGATTCACAGACCAATATTATTGGTAGTACAGCTTCCAGTCCATATACAGATGTAAGTATCTGAAACTTTTTAATCCCTGCAAGTTAAGACTATTAAAACATTCAAAAGTAATTGATTATTTAAGAATCCTGACAAAAAAAACCAACAGATACACATCCTCACTAACAGAATATCATCCATCTGAATCATGTTGTTAATGTTTTATTAATCTTGCCCTATGGGCATGGTCTAATGAATTGTTATAACTACACAGATTGATAAATGTCATTCAGACAGGTTTACTTTATAAAAATATAATATTAACAATATTGACAGAATTTTGATGGATTGGTATGTCTGAGGGTGACGATTTAGTTTATCAATAAAAGATTATATTTTTTGTCCCCCGCCTTTCGAAGAAAGCAGGGGACTATTAAAATGGGTTCGTCCGTCTGTCTGTCTGTCTGTCTGTCCTTCTGTCTGTCCGTCTGTCTGTCCGTCACACTTTTTGGGACACAATAACTCTCTTCCTAATTGAGCTAGAATGTTCAAACTTGGTGTATGTGTTTATTAGGTCAATGCCTTGATGGAGTTCGAAGATGAGCATTTTCCGCTTAGGGTAAGCAGAGATAAGCAATTTGATTGGTTGATGCTTTGGGACACGATAACTCTCTTCCTAATTGGGCTAGAATGTTCAAACTTGGTGTATGTGTTGATTAGGTCAATGCCTTGTTAAAAAATATTGTCAGCTTTGGTTTTACCAATGACTGACTGCATACACATGCAAAATGTACTTCTTTCTGCTGTATTAAATTTTATGTAAGCATGTAGAATTAAAAGGAATGAATATAACACTTATAACAGGAAGGCTTTTATAGGAAAAAAAAAATGCTAGAATTAATGAAAGGGTGCGTATTGACTTGGTACATTGAGTAAAATAAGACATCATGCTATATCTATTGTTTATCTATTGATTAGTCTGGTATTATAAAGTCCTAAACTACATCATGTTCAAAATAAAATATTCTTCTCCTGCGGGGCTTTACTTTATAGTATTGATCCTAACAATAAACAAAGCTTTGCTACACAATGTTTCTGTTACTTTTTATTTTCAATATACATTTATTAGACACTAATTGATTTACTTCCATTGAAAAGTTTAATCAATACAGATTTAGAACATGTGATACATTACTTACTACTGTAAAGATTTTTTTAAACTAATAATTCAATTAAAGAATTAAAATATAAGCATGTTAAGATATATTTAGTTGGTTTAAGGTGTATGTATATTAGTTGATAACATCAATAGATAATATAAATGAACGATTTGATAAGAATATGTTTCTGAAAGATGACACAGATTGAAATGGGTTGTCTGAAGAATCTTGTGTAATCCAAGTGAATGACAATGTTATGAGCAATATAACGATACACCTATTAATTAAATTGGTATCATCGCATGTGGATCAGTGATATCACTATGTACCTTGATTACTCACAATCTGTTTAATCACTGAAATTACTTATTAATTATGTTAACCCTACTTCATGATATATATGATTGAAATGTCATGTCAGTTTGTTGAAGCAAAAACACAATAGATCACATCACTGAAGACTAGATTACTTATACATATTTCACTTACATTGATATAACTGTCAGTAATATTAACAAGCAGGGCTTGCCACGAGACGCAAGTAATTACTGGATAATCAAGACTGGAGCAGATGCAGAATGTTGTTATCGTTTCTATAGTAATTCTTTTGATTTCAAGCTGGTTTTGTTGCTTTATCCGAATACCATCAGCACGCCCAACTATGGGAAAGGGAAATCCAGTTTCCCTAGCAACTTTCCTGTCATGGGAAGAGGATCTACAGAATTCTTTTGGATCATTGCCATTAGGCACATGAAATGGAAATGGCTACTCACGCAAATCATTATGCGTGAGTAATTACATGTACTCACCTCGCTGGTGGCAATCCCCGAACAAGTCAATTAAGCAAAATTTTATATACGGTACATTAGTTATGTCAAACTTTCCATTAGACCAATAGCAGAATGTATGCAAAATGTGTGAGGTTTCAATTAATTTTATGATATACAATTGAGAACAGCTTATTGAACAGTGACTGACACCAGCATGACTAGAGCAGGTCAACAAGCCAATCAAACTTTGTATTTAACCTTAGTTAAATTGCCATTGTCTTATGTTGAATTTCAGTCAATCACATCACCACAACCATATTCACCTCATGGAAACATTACATCACCTGTACCAACCGTCCCATCAAAGTAAGTATTAACACAATATTATTTATTACTATATCATTATGAATATTTTGTAAATTTAGAGTAGGGAAAATATCGCATAAAACATATTCAACAGAATGTAGCCATGTTGAAGGACCTATTGTTAATTCTCTGGTCACTTCTCGATTAGATAACCTTAATTCACTTTTAGTTGGTTTACCTTTAAAGCTTATAGATAAATTACAAAAAGTACAGAATACTGTAGCTAGACTTGTTACTTTAACTAAGAAATGTGACCATATAACTCCTGTTTTATATAATTTACACTGGATACCTGTTAAATATCAAATTGATTTTAAGATTTTATTACTTTTAAATGTTTAAATAATTTAGCTCCTGTTTACCCCTCAGATCTTTTAGAACTTTATACACCTGGCCGAACATTACTTACATCAGATAAACTACTTTTAAAGCCCAAAACTGTTCAACTAGTATCTTATGGTCAGCGCTTTTTTAGTTATCAAGCACCTGTTTTATGGAATAATCTACCATTTAGTTTAAGATGTTGTACATCTCTAAATTCTTTAAAAAAAAAAACAACTTAAAACACATTTATTTAATCAGGCTTTTAACTGAATCTGTATACAATCGTTAACATGTCCATTATCTTGTTGTTTATTTATAATTACATTGTCACTTTGTAAAGTGCCCCTGAACATTTTATATGAAAGGGCGCACTATAAATATGCTGTAATAATAATAATAATAATTTGATATTTCGGATTGCAACAGATAACAAAATTATTCAAAGTGAAAGAGGAACAAAACATCCTGTGCACTTTTTCAGTGTATTACAGTATATTGTACATATATTATTGTTATCTGACATAAGTAGAGTAAGTAAAGTCAACTAGTTTATTTACTATACATATATGTAAGTATAGTAAATAGTTGATAAGAGATGGCAAATAGCCAGACAAAGTTGACTATTATCAAGGAGAAATATGATAAAATGATATAGACCTAAGATGCAGACCCTGACCGCCCAATTCATAAATACCAAAATAAATACTGTTATCAGTTTACAAGCTCCCCAATAACGTCACCACTTCAATATATAGACAGGTATCAACTCCATTGAAAAAAACTCAATCCCTAAAATAAACAGTAATAACTGAACATTGAAATGTATACAATTATAAATATGATTAGTATTAGTCTAAATGATTAATCCTTTTTGACATTTGAATTAATTTACACTTTTTTTTCTGTTAGTACGAATTATGCTGGCGATTATGGTTTTGAAATCAGCTTCACACAGCCATCAAAAGAAACAAAATCAACAACATGGACGGTATGTACGAGATTCCAAATCCCAGACATACTGGTTTTCACAAGAATGAATTGTTAAGCATTGTACCCATATCTGTAACAATGACAAAATTAGTAAAGTAAAAGAAGTGCCATTTGAAAACAGTTGATTGTGATTAATAGTTATTATCAATTAACTAAAGAGGGAGCCGCTGTGGTTCAGTGAGTGAGACATTGGCTTGCTAACTTATAGGTCCCATGTTAGATCCCAGTGTGGACCGAGAAAGTACATCTGAATTTTCTGACATGATTCCCCCTTGTCGGTGATCAGGGCAAATTTACCTCATAGTACACTGTATAGTGCATGCCCATCTTCACTTGTCATGTAGGATGCTCAACCACATTTCATTTCTCAACTAATGACATAAGTGCTGTAATTATTAAATAAATAAATAAATATGGTACGACAATTCCCTAGGTCACTGCTAATGTGAGAGATCATCTGCTACTTGCACAGCACAGTAAAAAAAAAAGTATTTTGGACTTACAACAAGCTTTTCTCATAGGTATTGTTAATTTCATTGTCACAAATATTATGTTTTGTTAACATTAGATTAAACTTTGATCTTTTGTTTTATTTCAGTACTCAGAGTTGTTAAAGAAATTGTATGTTCGTATGGCAACAACTTGTCCAGTACGTTTTAAAACATTACGCAGTCCTCCACAAGGATGTGTCATCAAAGCCATGCCCATCTTCATGAAACCAGAACATGTCCAAGAAGTAGTGAAACGTTGTCCTAATCATGCTACATCAAAAGAACACAACGAACATCATCCTGCCCCCACCCATCTCGTTCGTTGTGAACATAAGTTGGCCAAATATGTAGAGGACAGTTACACGAGTAGACAAAGCGTCATCATTCCACACGAGATTCCACAAGCTGGATCAGAATGGGTGACAAATTTATTTCAATTCATGTGCCTAGGGTCGTGTGTTGGTGGCCCCAATCGTCGCCCCATTCAGATTGTGTTTAGCCTTGAAAAAGACAGTACGGTGCTAGGGAGGAGAGCTGTTGAAGTCAGGATTTGTGCCTGCCCGGGTCGTGATAGGAAAGCCGATGAAAAAACTGCCATGCCACCTAAACCCATGAACAAAAAAAGTAAGTTATGAATTATTTATGGTGAAGATTGTGCTTGTATTACTGGAGGGTTGGGTGGCCGAATGGTTAGCATGTGTGCGCTGTATCATAAGGCTTCTCATTGAGTCAACTGGCGTACGTGACAAGGATTAGGGGCACTTGTCCAACCTTGTGGGTTTTCTTTGGGTCCTTTGATTTCCTCCCACTGCTAGAGAAACCTACTAGTCTAGAGGCTCAGTGCCGAAGGGGGGGGGGGGGTCCATCAACTGTGCACAAAACTAGACCGAACCTTTCTCGAATAAAATTTTGCGTAGAATACGATGCCGAGTGGTGATCAGTCCGCCGTTGGGGCTTTTTCGAGATATTCTGGGTCAAAGGTCAAATGGATTCATTTGCACTGAAAGTGAATGTGCAGTCATTCTTGTATCATGAAAATAAGCTGAAAATGATTATAAGTAATCACACTTTCAATAAAAATGTAAATTTGCTAAATTCACCTTTGTTCTTTGTGACCCCATTTATTGAAAAAAAAATAAATGTGCGATTAATTAATATGTGTCATCTATTTATTTTGGGATTTCTCGGGGGGGGGGGGGGGGGGGGGGGGGGAAGAGAGACATCAGCCTCACTGTTGACTTGTCATGATACAAGAATTGCTGTGCATTCACTTTCAGTGCAAATGAACTCATTTGACCTTTGATCCGGAATGGGGGGGTTGGATGGCCGAATGGTTAGCATGTGCGTGCTGTATCATACGACCTGTGATTGAGTCAACTGGCGTGGTTTCGAATCCCCGGTTGTACGTGACAAGGAGTAGGGTCGCCTGTCCAACCTCGTGGGTTTTCTCCGGGTCCTCCGGTTTCCTCCCAATGCTAAAGACCCCTACGCGCAAGCGAATTATTGAAATAAAATGAAACCATATGTTCATCCCGAAATGACCTAGTTTGTGTTGAGTGGACGTTAAACCCCATTTCTCTCTCTCTCTCTTGACCCCGAATATCTCGAAAACGCCCCAACGGTGGACTGATTACCACTCGGCATCGTATTCTACGCAAAATTTTACTCTAGAAAAGTTGGGCCTGGTTTTGTGCCCATTTGATAGACACCCCCCTCGCACTGAGCCTCCGATCTATAAGCGCAAGTGAATTATTGAAATAAAATTAAACCATGTTTGTCTCGAAATGACCTAGTCTGTGTCGAGTGGGTGTTAAACCCCATTTCTCTCTCTCTCTCTCTCTCTACTTGTATTACTACTATTCATTTTTTAAAAAGTGATGATATGTACAATGTGATATAGAAATGATTTTCAGTTAAAAAAAATTAACATTTCATAATGTTACTTTCACTTTACAGTGGCTGCACACAAGATGACACTTGGTACAGAAATTACAAGTATAGGTCCTGGGAAAAAACGTAAAATTGGTGATGATGAAGTATTCACATTAACAGTAAGTAATTAGATTGCTTTAAACAATTTATAGGCTTTTAACATGAAATTTCAGTATATCATCGGATACATGACATGATGTATATATGAAGATGTTTATTCATTGTGTACAATGAAATTCACATTGCTTCAAAAGGCTTAGCTGTGATATATTCAGCTGATGGATGTATTCATTCAGATGAATTGCCTGCTATACTTAAAGAATTTTGATTAATATTTTTCATGTGTATTTGCTGGACGCCTCAAATTCCATCCATATCAAATTTTTTCTAGATAATTTGAAAACACAAAATTTTTACTTCCTACTCTTATGTAGCTATAAATTATTGCTATAAAATATACGATAAGATAAATTTGATCTATCTATACTATACATGTTTCTTTTGTAGGTTAGAGGGAGAGAGAATTATGAGATACTATGTAAATTGAGAGATTCACTGGAACTGTCTGCCATGGTGCCTGCAACACAAGTCGAAACCTACAAACAACATCAAGTAGAGATTCAACGACAGTACGTATATTCTTTATTTAACTTGAAGACATTGTCTAGTTGTGGAAATCTTTGGAACTTGATTTATGTAGGTGGTTGCAAGATACGCTTTTCAGTTTTAAATTGCTTTGAGATTACTTTGGCTTTAGCTTTTCTGTAATGTGTGAAATTGTGGCTAATATTGTGTTTATTAAAGAAGATAAATTTCAGGTGATTAAGATAATTATTATTTCCATCAAGAATTGGAGTTCGAAGCCTGGTATGTTTAATAATATTATTGAAGTGAAGGGAGTAGAAATCTAGCAGCCACCTGCAAATTCTATAAAAAAAAAAATCGCATTAGACACATTGGTATTGAGAAAAACTAGTAGAACTAAAAAATGGAAATTGACTATTTGCAGATGGCTGGCTATGTTATCTAACCAACAAACAAAGGCAAAACTGATGGCTAAACGCAAAAAACATCCAAAACCAAACAAATACCCGAAGATTCACAGATCCTAATGGCTTCCTACTCCATGTTGTTGGATTATTATTTATCGTATTATACATTTATCATTGTTCTCACTTATTCATAGTATTTATTTCATATCATTTATTAAATAAAATATTTTGTAGTCAGTTAGATATGAGACATAAAAGAGTAAATACAAAGATAAAAAAATCATTCTTAATTCACAAGTTTTATATAAAAAAAAAAAATTGTTCCATAGATGTTTCATTGTTTGGGTGTCTTTTGATATTTTATCTACCCTTGGCTAGTTTTCCGTCCATGCTCAACAATATTTTTTTTTTCAAATCTCGTTATATATAGATCAAATATCTTGCAATAAACTTTTAAGAAACAAACCTCATAGAATTTTAAACAGAAGTACATTATATTCAGCTTAATTTGAGTTGATCATTTATATAGAAAGGGATATGGATTGTAAGGACTGTAGAATTATTTGTTTGTATTAAAAGTATGCTTTACTTTCTTTTAATGATTACGGTTGTGCATGTCCGTGAGAAATAATGATGTACATGCAAACAAAAAGATGGATTTATTGCTTTATACAGGGGTCGCACTACTAACTGGTTTGCAACATCGAGTTTTTTTAATTGAACCCTGCCTTAAAACCCTTCCTCGGTTATTCAAAATCCCTTTGATTTGTTTATAATTTTCAAAGATATCAACAAAACTCTCCGAAATGTCCTAATTTAATTGGTAATATTTTACAATACTCTGTTCTAGAAGGCCATGATAAATCAATTTTGGCGAGGAAAAGTCTTTGAATTTGACGTCTTAATTTGTTTACAAACCATATGGTCTTGATTTGTTTACAAACCCCAAGATCTTAATTTGTTTACAGACCCTGTATAATAGTAATTAGTTATGATGTGAATTATTTCACTGCCAGTATCTTCATAATTTTATTATATTTATAATTGTATTTCTTGTATATATATGTAGAACATAATTTATTCCTTAAAATCTGAAGTGCTTTATCATATTCTATATTAATTATGTCTATAATATTCTGGTTCTCGGACAATCCTTACCAAAAGTCTGATGCAGGAAGGAGTTGTTGGGGTTTTTTGTGGGTTTTTTTATTTTGTTAAAGGATCTCAACTGGGCTAAATGACTCTCATAAACATAGCATTTCAACTCAAGGCACTACATTTATCTCATCATGTTTCTTACCAGAAATGTATGATTATCCAGTATCATTTATGATTGTCAGTATCATTTATCAGGGTTGTGTACTTTAGATATTCTTATTAGAGCCACTTCCTTTAGAGCCTCTTCGTCCGTGTGTCCGTTCATACATGTATTTTGTTTGTGGACACTACAGTAGTGTCGAGGTCAATTTTAAACGCCTGGTGGTTTTATATGCAATACAAGCTGAAAATCACAAATTTGGAAGAATTTTTGACGAAAATGGATTTGTAGGTTGGTGCGGGCCACTTTTTTCATGATGGCGGCCAAAATCAGCAAAATTAACAGGTTTTAACATATGTAAAGTTTCGGTGTGAGCTTTTATATACCTTATAATATGTCCTTTATTTGGTTTTCGGGGTCACCTGTTTCAATTTCGGCAATAAAAATTTGTTTCATGAATCTAAGATGGAGACCACAATTTGCAAAAATAACGTGTTTACCATAATGTTTCGGTATTGGCTTATATGCCTTATTATAGTGTTTTCGGGGTCTCTGGTTTCAATTCCAGCAATAATATTTTTTCATGAATCCAAGATGGCGGCCAAAATCTGCAAAAATAACGTATGTTTGCCATAACGGTACAAAAACTGACTTTGGAAATCTGAGTTTGTGCCATGATCACAGGACCAACAACTAGGAGCTATGGACTGTTTTAAATCCGGCAATATTATAGACTCTAAAATTCAATTCACTCCTTTGACAAACCTGAGATGTGAATGCAAGTTGGCCAAGCTGAAAATCAGATCTGTGCATAAGGTGGGATGACCACTGTTCAAGATAACGTCAGTGAAGGATGTTGTGGCTAGCAATGGACTCCTAGTATTCGAAGAGTTTATTGAAAAAGGCGAGAATCGAAGTTCCTGGAAATGGTTGAGAGAGTAAATAGAGGTAAAAAAGTGAAGGCACCCGAGAAAGCATTTCTGGCAACTGTTAAGGTTGCCAAGGAACTATCTATAAGGACGAAACAAGAGCTGAGAAAAGAGAACCCGCAAAATGTTTGAACTAGGGGATATTTGTAAGAGACACAGAGGTCCGCTGACGGAGGCATCAATAAGTCAGATTAATTAACCTAGAAACAATTTCTCGGTGAGATAGCCTACCTACGATTAACTGTAGCTCCAGACATTTGGCAGAAACGGATAGTTACTAAGACATAAAATCTTGTTTTCAAAACTTCACAAAGTCAGAATTGAAGCGGAGGACACTGATGCACTATTAAAAATGGCACTGGCAGGAAGGATATGATAGTTAAGATCTTATGGAGACTATATTTTTAAAGGATGTTATAATATTTTACTGACCAATACACGATTGTATAATATAAACAATGGACTACCAGAAGACTAGAGCGATATAAATAATTAAAAGTGTATATACATGTATTATCCATATTGAAAAAACAAAAATGGCCCGCACCAACCTAAAAATGCACTTTTTGTCCAATGATATATAAAACCACCAGGCATTTGTTGGTTTTCCGAAAAAAGTATTTATTCTCCCTAACCCTAACTACAGGTCACAATTTTGACGAAACTTAAAACATATGTTCAAATCCCAAAGATCTCGGTTCCTTTTGATATTGGCATGTATCGGACTCTAACTTCCTGGTTTGTGGTCCCTGATTGTACTAAAAATCATGTTTTTAGCTTATGGTCCCCCTAGAGGTCATGTCACTGTTACACCGTAATTGCGATTGTGTTTAAATATCCTGAAAATCGGAAAAGATCTTGGTTCCTTTTGATATTGACGAATGTCAGACCATAACAACGAAACTTGCTTATTAGCTTGTTCTGTCCATCTCTTGTAAAATGTGGACGTTTCTTGCATGGCAACCGCTCGTTATTTTTTAAAATAAAAACAGATCATGCACTACATGCAGCCCTTTTTTCTGAGAACCAAAATATTTTTTTTTATATGGCCTGATGTATGATAAAATCATGAAGTACCATTTTTTAATGGAGGAACATGAAGGAGTTATACTTTATACAGGCATAAAATAAAAATTGTAACAAAAGCTAAGAAAAATAAAGTATTTATGTAAGATTCATATCTATTACTTTACTTCAAATCTTAAAACTACAGAACATACATGTAGTAATAGAGTATGATGGATTGATCGAGGTACCAATTAAGTTTGAGACATTTATTGGAGAGTAATAAATTGGTCAAGATACCATGAAAGTATATTGAGACATTTATTTGAGCATTATTGAGGTCTTCAATGTGATTGAATAATCTTGGATATATTAAAGATTTACTTAAGTTACATTGAATGAAGGATTGATTCCTGTCCTAACAGTATCTTTGTTATTGTCCCTTGTCTTTCGAGGTCTGCCAGTCACACTTTTGGGGACACAATGACTCTCCTAATTGAGCTAAAATGTTTATTAGGTGAATGCCTTGATGGAGTTAGAAAATGAACAATTTCTACTTGGGGTAAGCAGAGATAAGCAATTTGATTGGTTGATGCCTTAGTTCTAATTAATTGAGAGTGATGAAACTTTGTGCATAATTTCATTACATGAGTACTCGACTAAGTTTGATAATGTGCATTTTCTGCTCAGGGTAAGCAGAGTGATAAGCCATTTGATTGGTTGAGACTTTGGAACACAAAATGTATTCAAATCCAGTAAATATCGCAGGCTAATAATGGCATCGAGAGATGATTATGTTCTGGATAAGTTAATTCATGTCCAATTCATAATTTAGATAACAGTTCAGACCCAAAGAAAGACCTGCAATAGGCAGATTTAGCTCTTGCATAATGCATGTTTAAGTAAGAGTGATGAAACTAACCTTGACTAAGTTCGATAATAAGCATTTTCTGCTAAGGCTATGTAGCAATAAGCAATTTGATTGGTCAAGACTTTGGAACATAACAACCCTACTTTTAATTGAGGTAGAATGGTTAAACTTGATGTAGATGTTCATTAGGTGAAATCTTGACCAAGTTCACTGTTTAACATTTCCCATTTAAGCTAAACAGCGCTAAGCAATTTGATTGGTTTATTCTTGGGACATAACTTTGATTATAACTGAGGGAGAGTGATGAAGCTTAGTGAATATAGTTTCACTACCAGGTACTTCAAAACCTTGACCGAATTTGATCGTGAACATTTTATACTTAGACTAAGTATAGATAGATGATCAGTTCAATTGCTCAAATACTTTTGAAAAAGATAAATGTGCAATTAATCAATATGTGTCGTGTTGATTTTGGTGGGGCACATCCGCCTCACTGTTGGCCTGTTTATATATTTCATAGTTTGATGATCATGTGACGTGTAACCGTACCACATAGTTCAAACAGTTGAAGACTTTGAAAGATTTTTAAGGGGAGATAAATTTGATTGTCTCTAGCTGCAGCTATTCAGGAATTCTTTCTGTCTCAGTATTAAAATACATGTTTATCCAACACATTCTTTCAAGCATGGTCTGCACTTATGACAGACAAGTAAACTATTACCTAGTCATTCACATTCAGTGAACAACTTGGACATTTGGCCGTAGAAAAAATAACTGAACAGTCTCACAATGATCTTATTGTTTGATATAATTATTTTAGGGTAACCCAAACAAGAATGGTATCTATACCTAACCGAGATGGTGCTCTTACACCTCAAAATGGTGAAACAAGACAAGGCAGTTTACCATTTAATACAGATGCGAACCATGTTACTAGTTCACAGTTAAATCAAGAAGTACAAGTATTATCTGGTGAAAATGTCTTAGTTAAAGAAGAACCAGCTGGTAGAAATGGTATTTTGACGTTATCGGATAATTCTGTAGCTGGGTATGTAGTTACTCCATATGATTCTGATTTTACCATGATAAATCTCAGTGCTCCAAGTAGATTTTGGAAGATTTTATAAGTAAATCCTGTCGTAATATATGTATGTCTGTCTTGTAGCATTGTATTGAATTAATATATTACCAGAGAATTGGATTGATAAAAAGAAGAGATTCAATAAAGAATTCACTGTATTAGATTTAAGGTGATTTTACAATGTGTGTACCAGATTTGGTTGATGTCATGAAAGGTTGTTAATAAACTATGAAATAATATTTGTTGTTGATTGTGTTGTAGATGGTTGTCACAGTTAGGGTTATCAGCCTATATTGATAATTTCCAACAGAAAGGTTTAAACCACATGTTCCAGTTGGATGAGTTTACTTTAGATGTAAGTATGACACAATCTTCACTTTATCAAAATGTTACAATTGTTTTAGAATTTGCGTTTAACTACTATAAAAAAAATTAGAAAGTATAACACTAAAATATATGAAATTTGGACATGCACTTTGGTTTCTGCTTCTACCACATTAAAATTGTAGTTGTCGGGTCTGGTGGACATAGTATAATACAACATGTATCACTACTTACATCGTATATTTATTTTATTTCAGGATTTAGAAAACATGAAGATAGGTACAAGCCACAGAAACAAAATATGGAAAGCATTAGTTGAATTCCATCAATCACAAGGTTTATTATCCGGGACATCTCAATCTTTACAAAGAGATGCTAGTAATGCTTCAACAGTCAGCCTTGGTTCTCAGGCCAGTATCTCACAGAACAGTACCTATTGTCCCGGGTACTATGAGGTGACTCGTTACACCTTTAAACACACGATATCTGTTAATGATGAAACCACATCTAGTAAGAAAGCGAAACTAGATTGATACCAATGTAAGCTAATAATTAACAAATTTGTTGCATGAATCATTTAAAAATGATTTTTTTAAAATCAGCATCATATCAAATTAGCTGCTGATTATTATTATCAATACTTCCTATTTACGATCATCGTAGCATATTATTATGCTCTGTTACATTCTTTTTGTGCATTTCCATAAATTGTATTTTTAGTGAGAAAATTATGGTATGCCAATTCTTGACCGTATTTATAGAGAAACTTGCTATTCAGGCAATTTTTATTTGCTAAGCTTTGTTAATACTATCACTTGAAGATAAAATTATTTTAATAGATCAAATAGCATGAATTGTTGACATACTCAATTGAGAAAGTAAGTATCCAAATTTCACAGTCAGATTATCTGTTATTTGTGCCAGGCATGTGGGAAACTGTTAATGTCAAGTTCTGAATATAATTTTTGCTCTTCTAGTGAGATGAAGAGATGAGCAGTGTACAGAAAGAATGTAGTAATGTTCAAGGGAGATAAGTCTGTTAAGTGTCTGATAATATTGTGCTAGCTACAGACAATATCCGTCCATACAATCTAGATTTAGTGATATTGTTAAAGTAAGATAAATACTAAAACTATAGAGTATATGTTATTGAATTATGTGAGTGTTAGACTGGAAGGAATATGGGTGTAATCCATCTGTGCATATAATGTGCAAATTTATTAATTTTATGTTATAAGTAAGGCCACACAAAATAAATGTCTTGTTTTTTGGGCAATTGACAGCTTCTTGTAGGAGGGGAGGTCAGCTTTTTTTTTTTTTTAAATTCATTGCTGGCTAGTGGATGGTGCAAAATAAAATTTGGCTATTACTGAAAATTGCATGGGCTGGAGGACAGTCCTTTTTTTTATGAGAACAGAAAGCATCACTTGTTTTTATGTTCTTGCCAGTTTCCAGATCACCATAATCGCACTGTTGCAAAGCAATAGGAATGACTTCAGTCACTGTCTTCGCCTTTTCAACTCCAATAATAGTCAACAGGGAAACGGATATGCCGCCTTTCTCAATTTGGACTTGAGACTTGACGATCAAAAAGTGGTACAAATTATGTGGTAAATTGTAGACTTACTATTTGTCAACGCCGTCGTCCCTGTAGCTAAGTAAATCTTGTGCGAGACCACAATTTGCATTAAGCATGCAAATACGAGTGAGTCGTTTCACCCAAGGACCTTTTACAAATGATTTCATTCCTGTTTTCACATGACAATTTCTCCCAGACAGATCTGTTCATACAGTTACATTCAATCATATTTAGCCGAAGGTAAGTTTTCAGTCATGACAAAGGAAAGTCTGTTTCTAATTAACATATTGATATACGCATTCAACTATAATTATTGTTGTCAGCAATGTTTTGTATGGACAATGAAACATACATTATGCAAGAGCTAAATCTGATTATTGCAAGTCTTTATTTAGGCTTCAGATGTCATAGAAATTATAAATTAGACCTTTATTTACACAAGCACAAAATCAACTCTGTAGACCCACGGATGGCTTGGATTTAAACAGGATTTCATTGATTGATTAAATTTTTAAATGGCATCGTAAGCTGAGATTAACCGTTACGTTGACGTCATACTCTGGGAAATTTTAGATCGAGGCTGAATGATAGAGTACGAAGCGAGGCCGCTGTTGAGCGAGGCTGCATATGTCGGTCAATTTGATTGAAAGTTCGATATATACGGCCTTGATATTATGTTTATTTGTGGTTAAAATGAGAGTTTAGATGTCGGTATTATACGCTCTTTTGTCACTTGCGTTTACAGAAAAATTATGGAAATTGATAAACATCGCAGCTAACATCACCCCAGTTGAATTGCAGCCCATGCAGCCCCATTGCCATTGGATCAATGTTTCTTATTTCAATTGAAGAAGTCGGCTATAATTATGCCTCATTGATTTGGTCCATTCCTTTAAAACTTTCGCTTCTTATCTATATAATAAAAGTCTTTTTTTTAATTTGTAGTAAAAATAAATGTGATACGAATTGAAAACGTTACTTGATTATTTTTGAACTGTTATAGCAAGAATGGCCAACTCTCTATTAAAATCTCCCATAATGCATCTTTAAGGGAAGGTAATTGATATATGATACAAAAATGGAGGTTCTTTCAATATCGATAATAAAGACCCATAAATAAGTATTTTCATATTACCCAGTTTTAACACACCTGAATGGATATACTGTACGACACATGAAGGCATGTGTTTTTCTTTTACGACTTGCATATCGATGGTTGAGTGGGAATTGGGTTGGGGTTTTATTTCATCAAAACCAATAAAAAGACTGCAAGCTCAACCATTTTTGGGTGTAGTCGGTGCCCGAAAAACAACTTATTTTATTTGTGTTGCCTAAATGCTACTTTATAGTAAGCAGAAACTTAGAATAATGTATATCCTGTTAAAATGTGTGTTGTGTACTCTATGAGTAATATATTATTAAATAATTTTTAACATTCCAAACTTTTTAACACTGCAAAGTGTTTTTTTAATGTGTTCATAAAACGGTGTGCATTATTTTATATGAAGATTGTTTGTAGCAATTGTATTACAAACCGGACGTGTTGTTTTCAATGTTATGTTCAAATTGGTGCATTTCTTTTAAACCTGAAACTGAATATTTTGGGTTATTATTTGCAACTAGATGTTTTGTCTTTTTCATCTTCCTATAGATCTGTTCAAAAAGTGATTTTCCTCCCTTATAATTGCTTCGGTTTGAACATCTGAAGTATTTCTGTTATGATACAGCATCCTGTAACAGGAAAACAATTCTTATATCAAATTGACACTGGAAGTAGTCACAGCAAACATGTGATTTCAAAAATAAGAGAGCACTACTTGTTGAACATATCCGTTAGATTCACTGCCATATTGCCGATACCTATAAATATCCCAAAAGTATTTTGCTCTAACATTTCAACTTTCAAGTATTTATTTAATACATGTCTATATATATATATAGTAGAATAGTTAATTAAAGCTGCTCTTTAGTAATATATAATTGAAATTAAAGATGGCAAAATAAAACTACATTTTTATGCTAACGTTTTCACTGCGATAGCGGCTCTTCAGGCATTTATTAAACATTGTTAAAATAAATGCTTGAATATAAAACCTATATTATTTTCAAAGTAACCATTCATTTACTTGCTCTAATTCTTGAATTTGTTTACCTATGTATCTAAATCACGAAATCATTTTCATGTATAACACATCTTTACTTTAGGTAAAAAAAATAATTTAAAATTGGATACAAACTTATGAAATGTGTGTTTCTTTGGAACATTTCTATATGGCTAAGTAGATTGTAATTACAAAATTGCATGTATTATGTAAGAAATCATAATGGGTTCTGTTATCGTGGCATGTGTGAAGATTTTAGTTGAACAAAATACATGTAGATAATAAAGTCTTTGTGGCTGTCAAGTTCTTTATCAGACATTTTAGTTTTAGAACGCTTTAAATACCAGTCTGAATATAGTTTATATTTGCAGATTATTTATCAGAGAACAATTGTTTGTATAGATAAAATGTTTCTTTTCTATCTAATTTATAAAGATTGCATAATATATGCTAATTATTTATTTTCAAAGTTTTCTATGATTTGTAAATATTTGTTTCTTTCAGTAAATATGTAGCCTTACAAGTTATAATTTATAAATGTTTTGCAATATCTTATGTGCTTTTATATTTTTTTAAAACTACAAGTATATGTATGTTATGATTTAGTGTTACCAAATTAAAGCTGTTCTTATATTGATTTATTCACTGCTTTTTATATGCCCACGTTGAAATGTAGTCTTATATTGTCGTCCGTCGTCCACAATTGCTTGCGAACACTCTAGAGGCAAAAGTTAATATCCAATTGACTTTAAATGTATACACACTGTTTACTTTATTATCATGAGAGGAAGAAGTCGGTTGCTTATCCACAATTTCCGATAATTACTGCCAGAGTTATGGCCCTTGATCACTTTGAAGTATCTTGTGGACGCTTTCGAGGCTAAAGTTAATATCTTTTTGTCTTAAACTTCTTATACACGGTGTTTAAGGTCATGAGACAAAAAAGTTATCATCCAATTGATTTTAAATTTATACACAGTGTTAATAGTCATGAGACGAAGCACCTATATGTTATGAAGGATTTCCAATAGTTACTGCCAGAGTTATGGCCCTTGATTACTTCGAAAAATCTTGCTTATGCTGTACAGGCCAAAGTAATCATTCGATTGACTTTAGATTGATACACAGAATTTAAGGTCTTGAGACGAAAAAGTATATTGATTTTCAATGATTTTTGAGAACTTGAACAGCTAACCCATGAACTTAAATGTTTTGTATACTAAACGTTTCCATGGAGCAAAACTAGAAGCCAAACAAATTCTAATTGAGTTGAATGTTACCCTTAATCAGATTTAAGTGTATTATAAATGTTTCATTACCGACAAAAGTACAAATATGCAACAACTCTTGTTAACTGCCCAGATGGTTTAGCTGCTGTGGGTCTATGTTTTGTTGCCTGGCAACCTATCTTTGTTTAAAACTAGCAGGAAAAAAGCATGAAATAATTTAAATGGCATTTGTAACAATTCCTAGGGAAAAAGTAAAAAATGTGTATTTTTAGAGCAATGAAATGTACTACAAGCATTTATGTGCTACTTTCACAATTAATTTAAGTTCACTCTTTACTAAAGGTTTTTATTTTTAAGTATGTTAAATTTGAATTACAAGATAACTGATAAGTTGTTACAAACTTTAAATATTTGATGAAACATCACCCTCTTATACATTAATTCATGTTCTTGTCATAAATGGCTACGGGATGTGTGTTCAAAATATATCTACCATTTCATAATACGTGTGCCATCCATATATCTTTATATCATAAACATTAACATAATTTAGAATAAAATAATACTATTTGTTCAGTCTCATGTTTATTTTATTGGGGCACTACGATGGTTGTAGTGTTCTGACATTGTTCTCACAAACAGAATGTCCCAGGTGAGAGAAAACAGATTTTCAAACGTAACAAACGCAAGAAGGGGGGTCGGGAATAATCATGATTTCTTGTTGCGTTTTCTCACCCCCTCGACAACAATTTCTTGACCTGAACTTGTTGGGATTTTGAAATGCCTGCAACAATCTTCCATAGTATATATATATCACTGTACATTCGTAGGCGGAAAACCATGGTGATAATTGTTAAACTGGTGTATATATTTATATGAACAAGTCACATGTGTAGATCAGATATTGATTATTGCCCCCCGCCTTTCGAAGAAAGCAGAGGACTATTAAAATGGACGTATGTTTGTCCTCACACTTTTTGGGACACAATAACTCTCCTAATTGAGCTAGAATGTTCAAAACTTGGTGTGTTTATTAGGTGAATGCCTTGATGTTGTTCGAAGATGAGAATGTTCTGCTTAGGGTAAGCAGAGATAAGCGATTTGATTGGTTGATGCTTTGGGACACGATAACTTAAGTTCTAATTAAGTGGGAGTGAAGAAATTTTGTGTATACATGTAGTTTTATTACATCAATACCTTTTCTGCTCAGGGTAAGCAGAGCGGTAAGCAATTTGATTGATCGAGACTTTGGAACACAATAACTCTCCTTCTAATGAAGTTCTTTCAGAGCAGCAATAGAGCTATGGTCGGAACTAACACCAAGAATTAGTTTTTGCAGTAAAATTTTGAATTCGTTGAAGAGTAGTTGCTGGCAGATCACAGAGCAGACTATTTCCATAATCCATATGGGAGAAAACTAAAGGGGGGGGGGGAATCGCCACCCGAGCTGTGAATTTATGAGACCAAGTTTTTCTAGACCAGTTTTTTGCGTCGATTCCGAATCTGGGTGGTGATCAGACGTTTGAGGGGGCGTTTTCGAGATATGGGTGGTCCAATGTCTACAATTGGGTGAAAATGTGATTATGTTGACATAAATGATGATCATGTTATATATTAATAAAACATAAATTTCTAGGACTGCCAACCTCTAAATAGGTGTTTATGATGCCCCTGGACAACTGTTTTAATTTGTGGCGAGGTGGGGTGGGTGGTTGCCGGTGTGTGTGGTTGCTGGTGTGCGTGTGTGTGTTGGTGGTGGGGGTGGTGGTGATTGGCGGGAAATGAGTTCACGTCCTCGATTTAAATGATGATTTTCTTAAGAGTTTGATGAAACATCTCTAAATATGTTTATAAAGATTTCCATTGTGTTAGATGAGTGTCCTCGTGGTTTGTTATGTCTAGGATATTCTCGACACTTTCAATGCTAATCTTGATATATTTTTTGATCCAATCAAGATTAGTATTAAAAGTTTCGAGAATATCTTGGCCTACATGCTTTCAGTGGTAATGACTATCTGTCTTTCTTTTTCCAACTTTCTAACATTTTTTAAAGAGCTGGGAGAGACAAATGATGTTTCTGATGACGTAATTGCTCGTTTAGAAAAAATTGTTTGTACCATGTACGGCGAAGGCAACTTACACCAGCAGATTACACTAGAAGAAAGATTTTCTGGGGGAATTTTAATTGTGATTCAAAATAACAAACCCTTCTTTCTTTATTACATCTTGTCTGAGTAGTCTTTTGCTGCACATTAAACGCAAAAAAATATGATGCAACAATATGGAGACAGACTGCAAAACCAATGATCGAACAAGATGACCCTACGATACAAGGCTGGAATGAAGATTTACAATGTGAATGGGTATCTGAAGCATATCCAAAGAATATATGCGAGCTGTTGATTAGCAACTAAGAAGATATTTATCCCGCTCATATTATGAACTTTGATTTTGAATTTTTTGATGAAGACTAGAATAAACTAATATCTAAACATGTCTCTGATTTACTGTTTTTATGTACATTTCCAGATCTCTTGAAAAGTACCATTATAATTTTATATTTGGAATGACGAAATTAGTACTGAATGAAAAAGCAATCTGATTAAAATACAGATGTATAATATTTCGTTTCATTTTTTTTATACTTTCGATGGCCTACACTACATGAAGGTCTGGCCAGTTGTACTGGGAGGTCGCGTCAGTGGTCATACGAGCAGCTTTTGACCCTATGTCGTCATACATTGATTAATCAATCAGTGATGACGTTTCTAGGGATTTACCCAGTTCCGTGCAGAGCTCGCCAAGAATTCGCCGCAACAGACCATTTCATTGGCTAATTCCTCACATCAACTAGACTGCCTGATGAGAAAACATTTTTCAGGTCTATTTTAAACCAGGTGGTTTCTGTACCCAAAATTACATTTTGCCCGCCGCCCCATATAATGAGAATCTTAAACAAATATTTAGAGATGTGCAGCGGAATTAAAGAGTAATGTTTTTGCCAAGCTCTAAGAAAATCATTTAAAGATACATTATGCAAGAGCTAAATCTGCCTGTTGCAGGTCTTCCTTTAGGCCTGAAATGTTATAAACTATTAATTAGACATTTATTAACAAAACAATACCATAATCGAATCTCGATGACATTGGATACTCAAGATTTTAACTAGATTAAAACGGTTCGCCATTAATTTAAAAATGGGAAAGCGAGGCTAAGTCACGATTATACCAGTGCCCTGGTTACCACTGTGCACACATCTTGTCAAAACTACAAACAATGATAACTTGGCTGAGAATGAAGTAATTTTAATGGAATTTTCAATAATTTCTTTTTTATCATCTATTTTTGAATTATTATAGCAATAACGTCCAGCTCTTTATTAAACTCTTAATTAATGTATCTTTAAATGAACGTGAACTCATTTCCCGCCAATTTAGCCCCCCCCCCCCCTGGCGCTGCCCTCTGTTTGCCCCCTCCCCCAATAATTTTAGAAAATAAAAAAAAGTATTTGTGATACGTTTTGGTAATCAATACCTTCTACGGTATATAAATCCCACATCCCCACTCAGTCATAAACTTGCATGTTGTAGAGCATTTCCTACACTCTATTTTTCAAAATTTTCTTGGCTAGGTCCCCAATGGACTCGCTACTTTGGCGCTCACAGGGGGAATTCGTTGAGGTTCGCAAGTCCCTTCGTTTGACATTTTGTTCTCTAGTCGGATAAACTAGTGATCAGGACACGAACGGTATCTGGGCAGATCTATTTATCTCGACGATCGGTGCCTGACAGAATACTGTAAGACAGCATTTCCGGCAGTCTATTTTAAAAAATTTTCTGAGGGAAGACTCCCTACTTTGACGCTCGTGAGTGGGCTTCGTCGTAATTCGCAAGTCCGTTCGTTTGACACTTTACCTCACCGATCAGTGCATAAAATACTGCCAGGCTGCAGTTTTTCAAAATTTTCTGGGGGAAGCCCCCCTACCCCTAGTTGAAGCTCGTGCCTTTGCCCCTTTAACCTTGGACTTTGCCCCTCCAATCACCGACGGCTGGCGCCTCCACTGCCCCCCCACCCACCCCACCACGTCCATACACGCACACTTGCTACCCTCACCCTACCTCCCCACAAATCAAAACAGTTGTCCAGGGGCATCATATACACGTTTTTAGAGATAAACAATCCTAGAAATTTATGTTATCAATACATAACATGAACATCATTTCTGTCAACATAATCACATTTTCCCAAAATTGTAGACATTGGACCCCCCCACCCATATCTCGAAAACGCCCCTCAAACGCCCGATCACCACCCAGATTAGGAATCTACGCAAAAAACTGGTCTAGAAAAACTTGTTCTCATAAATTCACAGCGCAGGTGCCGATTTTCCCCCTTCAGCCACCGGACTAATATGAAATGAAATGAAATGGGGTTTAACGTCCTACTGTTCTGCTCCGAACTAGGCTAATGAAGACGGGCATACGCCATACAGTGTGCTATGAGGGAAAGTTTGCCCGGACAGCGGCACTACGGCCTACTCTTATATCGAATTCCAACTGTCAAGGGATCTTTTACATGCACGCCAATGTGTACACGGGACCTCGGTTTTTCGTCCCATCAGAACGGTTATAAGACAGCTGCATGTCCTTGTCAGGCCCTCCGTCCTGCATCACTGACAAGGGGGAACCACGCAGAAAAATCTAGATGAACTTTCTCGGCCAATGCTGATGCTTAAAGTTTTCGTCCAAATGCATCCCCAGGAAATTAACACGGGGTGAAGAATCAACTACAGAATCCCCAACTCTTAAATCGTGGGTGGTAGACTTGTGGAGCTGACAGCTACCACCAAAGATAATAACCTCAGTTTTGTCGTCGTTCATCTTTATTCGATTGTGAAGCATCCAGATTTTAACGTCGCCTAAGGACTCTAATAGCCGGGAAGCAATACGAGATTCTGCATCAAGATCTCCGATTTCAAAATTCTCATACAAGCTGTGATTGATTGTGTCGGATGGAGATCTTTTTATACTTTCAATAACAGTGTCTCTGTACTATGACATGGTCTGTAGGCACTTTGCTAAGTTGGTAATAGGCTGTGGTTAATGAAACTTACTGAAGATGCCTTTTCAACAATTTTGGACAGGAAGAATAGATTGCTGACTGCTCTATAATTTTTCTTTTCGTGATCCAATGTCTATTTTTTGATAAGCGGTTTGACAATGGCAGCTTTCCATACTGAGGCGAAAACACCTGACTGAAACGAACGATTGATGAATTTGGAAATCAGGGAAGAATGATCTTTGCATTTTTTTTTTTTTTTGTGACTAAAAATGATGGTATTGGGTCAAGGTTGCGCGTTGATGGTTTCGCATTCTGGATAAGTTTCTGAATATCATTTGTATTTACCTCCGTACATGAGGTGAATGCAGGATGATTAAGTGTATGATGATTAAAGTCCGAACGGATTTTGTCCACTTTGCCAAAAAAAAAGAAGTCTGCAAACTCCTTTGCAAGCTCGGCGTCAGATACAGTCATGATTAGTTAATTAGTTGGACTTCTGTTTCCCCGTTAGATTTGAGACAGTGCCACACAATTCCACATAATTTGATTTTATCTGAAATGTGTGAAAATTTTGATACATCGAGGTGTTTCCTGTATTCGTTCCGAATAACGGTACACTGATTCCAACAATGTGATGTTTTGTGTTTAACCCAGCGACGTTTAGCCTGGCGTGTCTCTTGTTTGAGTTTTAGTGCACACTTATCAAACCATGGAACCATACGTCGTACTGTTATCACTCACTTTTCGTGTTTGTCTAGAACTTCTCGAAATTCAGAATTATAGTTCTATATCTTCAAGGGTGTCTAGTTCGATTACCTTATGCACCGCTTCGCTGAGATCCGATTCGAGAGTCTCGTCATTAATGGATTTAAGTTTGTGAAATGAATTCCCTTTCTTTCTAACACACTTATTTGACAAATAAATAAAGTACTCCGCATCAATGTTTAAAAAAGGGATGTCGGCATTATCATGAACTTTCTGCAAAAAAAGTTCCAGTTTGGACAAGATGGTGCTCAGAATAAGGTGGCCGATAAACAACAATCAGGGTAAAAGTTACAGTTTTGAGAGAAATCGCGAACTCAGCAAATTCGAAAGACTCGTATTCTCCCGAATTAATAATAACAACATTGAATTCTATTTTGTAAAATATCCCTAATCCACCACCAATACGGTGATTTTTTTTCAACGTTCAACAAGTTATATCCAGGTAATCTTAAGATTCAATAAATAGTTCATAGTCGTCGGAGTTTTTAAACCAGGATTGGGTCACTACGCAGAAATCAAAATTCTCATTTATGACAGTGAAGAAATGGGTTGATTTTGCTTCGCATAGATCTGGTGTGAAGCAGTCCAAATTTACAGTTGTGATTATTATCATATGGTTTATTATATGATAAAGGGCGTAACAGATGGTGATGGACCCAGTAACGTTGTTGAAGCACATTCGAGATTTCCATTACAGACTGATTAATGTGTATCTTAGAAATAATAAAAAAAGAAGATTCATAATTATTATGGTCGTTTCTGCTAATTGCAGTAAATGGGGACAAAATATTCTTGGAGGGGAAAACTGGAACTTTTGTGCTCTCTTCTGTGTGAAGTCAACAAGACCAAATGTCATCAAGAACCAATATCCGAGTGTATGATTCAGCTCGTTAAATGACTATGGAGTGCAACCTGAAATAAATTAATGAAACCAACTTTTATAAATTCAACAGGAAATTTCAACTGACTAATATGGGTGGCAACCGAAAGCGAAATTTTGATTGACTGCAAATGCAAACAAAACATGTTAACTAAACAGGACCTAGTAGGCTTCTGCCCACTGTTTTTTTTATTTATATTGAGACTGAAGTATTAGTGTGTATGGTCAGACAAAATACTTTATAAGATCATTGCTATTTACCTACACCTAAATTTCAACAAATTGATGAATGTAGATTATAGTGAGATGTAATAGTCGGAATACCAAACTCTTTGGGTGTGGTGTCACCGTAGACAGTGATATAATAATGCTTCTAGGAGACTAATGTAAAACATATTTATAGATGCCTCAAAGAAAAGTTTATAAAGCCAAAAAGAGAGGACTGTTTTGATGGGGATCTCACTTTCACAACTATATATCTCACGCAAACTTAATTTATGGATTATGGATGTATTTGTTGTTTCGATATGAATAAACGTGAATTTGAACTACAGATGATTTGAGAAATTTCGAAGGTTATTTTACTGTGACATTAATTAAAATGCAGGTACAGTACTTTAATATTTGCCTATTTATTTTAAAACGTCAAACCGTTAAGAACCAGTTCTAGATTCACTTTAAAGCCTATTCTCAAAGACGAAAAAAAATATATTACCTAGCCTATATATTTCAAACGCGAAAATAGATACTTAAAATAATAATAAAAAAACCCGGCATCGTCGAATATCTCCATTCATGTCGAATTAAATTTTCTCAAAGCTTTAATTCATCTACTACATATGTGGTCCGGATAAAGTGACACAAAATGGTTTGATCTATGCGTCAAGGATAAATCTCATATACAGACTGTTTTGCATTTCGATATTGATATCATAATATTGTTCAATCTTGGATTGAAACAGCTGGCTTGTTGGAACTATAGAATGAAATTAGTACAATTCTTTTTTGACGTGCATGTTATTATGTCTATTTTATAGAAAGCTTCCGTGACCTGCCCTGACCTCTACCATTGTACTAAGTGGTGGATTATGATGGAGGCTGCAACAGGGGGCCCAAAAAATTAGTTAATAAAAAATAAATGTCTGTATATGTAAACTTAATTTCATACCTATATGATATGATGCAGCATTGCGGTTATATAATATGTTGTATAACTAGACCTTGTATTGAGACCTTGGATGCTATAGTGTTCAAAAGTTTGCCCGAATGCCTGAAAATTGACATGTATTGTTGAGGTTTATATTCCTAAAATACAGTAGATGAATGACACTTTTTATTTGGCTGTATGGATTTTGATAGTAAAAGGAAAAGGTCACATTTAATTATATTATCTTAAAAAAAATCACTAAAATTAAACGACGCCAGATTCTTAGCAGACTTATTTTAAACAGAGGCGTGCTGGGGGCAAACCAAACTTAGGGCACTTTGGGGGGTGGGGGCGCAGCGCATGGCATATTTTGGTTCTTTACCACGTGCTAGAGTCGATTTGACATCCGTGCCTTGGTATACTAGGCCTATACCTTTGCACTTGGTTGCAGGGCCTATTTTAAGGTTTTATTGTAGAAGTAGGGTTTCCAATGTTTTGGGATCCGTGAAAATTACACTTTTATAACCAAAAAATAACAGGATTAACATACTGTATTTATATTTATAACCGCGTGTCAGTATCATTAACAGTCCAAAGAAATATCTAATGTCGATCCAAAGGCAAATGAAGCTACACTGTCACCCACATCTGGCGATGTTCTGCCACGTAATTTTCGTGCTTTAGACGGTGATGGGAATACGTCAACCATAAAAAAAACCTTTTGAAACAGAAATCGATAGTGGTCGATGATCATCCTAATGATAGGCCTTGAGATTCAGAAGGTTCCAAACCCCTTTTTTTTAATCCACGGACTTCAGATTTTCAAAGCACGGATTTTTTTATCCAGAGACAAGTCCGTACAGGCACGTTAAAATATGCCCTCTTTGGTTGAGGGATTATGTTTTTAATTCTGCAGATCTGAACATGAACATAGTTAGCATCTGAACATGAACATAGTTAGCAACAATCAATAACTAAACGACGAAGCAGAAAAAAACAAGCATCGAAAGTGGCTGGTATTCCTTACAAAGGATACCCACCAAGTCTGATTCGATTATGTTCGCTAATGAGGGAGGAGTAGCACTTAACTGATACAATCCCAAGAACAAGAAATGATCAACATTTAGACACCGATCGTGGCCCCGGTGTAAAAAGTTACGTTAGGCCAGACCAAGGAAGTTAATGGTAACAGAATGAATTTCAATAGGGTTCGTGGTAACGGTTATAATAAGCGTATTGACATGGGTATGCTAACCGCTAAACACACTCCCGTCGACCGTGTTGCAATTTCCGATTATTTTTCATTTTCCTAAATTCACTTAGCGAAATAAATAAAACAAAGATTCTGAATGTTATAGAAATATTAATCCGGCTGTGAAATCGAATCTAGAAGCCATCAGTGGAAATGGCTTGGATGTTAGATCGCGAAATAAAAGAACAAATCTCGCAAAATATCAGCCCGCGTAGTTTCCTCCAGAAATTTATACCAAACTCGGACACGTTTTGGCCCTGGGCAAGCAATTCTAATGATAAACATGAACAGTCACTACTCAACTGTTTTCAGGGGCGTACCGCCAAACGTGTTCCGGGATCCCAGACGGGTCAGGGAAAAAATAATTTGACGTGCATTGTTTTCAAAATAAATAAATTTCATCTTCGCATCCAGTGGAAAATATAGCGGAGGAAAAAGGTGCGAGAATAGTGAATCAAGCTAGTTTTCTCGTCATGTAACCTAGGGCTACCCAGTCCACCTCTGACTATTTTAATGTGGGCTGAAACAGCGATCATTTTAAAATCGGAGACATACCAGCCACATTCAGTCGACCAAAAGCAACATTGGCTGGTTCCCTGTCCCACAGTGGATGATAGCCAACCGGCATCGAGGGGTAATCGATGGTGCATGTATGACATTGGGTGCGAGTGGTTTTTATACGCTCCTGTTTGCTCACTACACTTTATTATTTATTTTTCTTAAGGCTTTTTTTCGGATGAGACGAAAAACCGAGGTCCCGTGTAAACATTGGAATGCACGTAAAAGATCCTTTGGCAGTTGAAATTCGATATAAGAGTAGGCGATAGTGCCGCTGCCCGGGCAAAATTTCCCTCATAGCACACTGTATGTCGTATGCCCGTCTTCATTAGCCCAGTATAGGAGCAGAACAGTAGGGCGTTAAACCCCATTTCATTTCATTTCATTTTGTTACCTCTTTCTTGTAAATCATTTTTTTATTTTTCATTTTAAGTGAAGCCAATATCATTACAGGCTCGGGACTGCACAGCGCAGTGGACACTTACGACTGGCTCCCAGATCCATTTAGGCTACTTTATTTGATATTTGTTGTTTATTTCTTGCAATGTCTATGTATTCTGGCATGTCCGTAGGTTCATCTTGTAGGTTTTGTTTTGCGTTTAGTGTGGCCCTCCTGCATTTACTATGTGATCGCATATTGCCGTCACCCCCGTCCGACCGTCAACAATTTCCGATACCAAGATTATAGCCTTTGATCACTTTGAAATATCTTGTGGCTGCTCTAGAGGCAAAAGTTAAAGTATTATAGCTAAGTCTCTAACTCAATATCATTCAGAGTCTTCGACATTGAAAACACGAATTAATTGTCAATTGAAATCAACATTAATGTTGTGATCCTACCAGGAAAAGATGGGCTTCTGATATCCAATATTTAAAGATACATTATGGGAGATTCGATAGGGAGTTGGCAGTTTGTCACTATAATAGTTAAAAACTATAGATAATGTAAAGGCAATTTCATTCAAATTGATCCACTATGAACCGAGAACTAAGCGATTGAAATTTCCGCCTAGCCTTGATCATCATTACTAAAGTCAGTACGATAAACAGCATATAGTCTCGATTATCCACTTAATCGTTAAATCGTGAAGGAAAGTTATGAAGTAAATCGGCTCATGATCCACGAAGATCACAGGCTAGTGATGCCATCTAGAGTTGATTATGGTCTGGATAGGTTAATTAATGTCTAATTAATAATTTAGATAACATTTCAGGCCTAAAGAAAGACCTGCAATAGACAGGTTTAGCTCATGCATAATGTATGGTTAAGACAAAATAAACATTTTACCATTGGTATACACGAATGGTGCACCATAATGCGTTTCAGTGACATTTGTAACATCGGACTCGAAGTCTTGTCAAACGGTGACCTCATATTCTTATCTGGAGAGCATGCACAATAAATACTCTCAGTGTAGACTGGAATAACCAGACGCTAGAGATTGTCATTCGATTGAGACTTCTGGCATATTTCGCCGAACATAACTGATTAGAAATTACAGTAAAAACAGAAATGATTGAATGTAAATGCGTTGCGACCCATTTGTGTCATTTTCTAGGTTCCAAGTATTAGCGATTTAGATCCTTTAATACCCGACTGACTTTAATTTTATAAGCATTGTTCAAGGCCAAATTATGAATTAGACATTAATTAACTTATTCAGACCATAATCAACTCTCGGTGCCAACGCTAACCTGCGATATTACTGGATTAGGATTCGATTTGCTGCTCAATTTTTTTTCATGATTTAATCATGAAATGGATAATCAAGACTGTGGTTTTTTTTTATCGTACCGACTTTAGTAACGATGATCGAGGTTAGGCCGAAAATTCAATCGCTAAAATCTCGGCTCAGAATGGATCAATTTGACTGAAGTTTTCAGCAAATTCCCTTTACATTATTTAGTTTTTAACTATTAGTGAGAACTGCCAGCTCTTTATCTAATCTCCCATAACGTATCTTTAAGTCTATACGCAGTGTTTAGTATACTTTAATATGCTCCTTGGTCACTTTGAAAAGTCTTGTGGACGCTGTCGAAACAAATTCTAATGATTTCTGATAATTATTTAATGGGTTGTGATCAGATTTTAGTGTGTTGTAAAATGTTTTCATTACTGACAAGTGACAAAAGAAAAAAAAATATGTGACAACCCTTGTTGACTGTTCGGACAACTTAGCTGCTGTGGGGGGTATATTTCGTTGCCTGACAACCTATCTTTATTAGTGTTGCAGGATCTCATGGTTGGAACAAGGGAATGACAGCAGGAAAAGGGGCACACTGTTGTCATTTGGGTCAGTTGGAATACGATGACAATGACGCGGACATTTCCACGAGTATTTGAGGTAACTCTTTCGAAATTCGAGGGTACTATTTCAGAAGGGGGGGGGGACTTTTCGAACAGGAGGGCACATAGCCACCCTACCCCCTATACCCGGGTTAGGAACCTCGTCGGATTCGAGCGTTATCAAATATTTCCAATTACTTTTGTTTTTGCATTTATTAGGGCAGGGCAGGGTAGGCTGTCTACCTGCTCAGCACGCCTCTGCTTATTAACCGGACCCATGGGAAGGTAAATAATCAGAACCATTACTTTCCCATACCAAGTGTACCAATGGCTAATGAACTTATATTACTCGTAACCGTGGCT